CGAAATTTTTAAACGAGGAAAGAAACAGAGAAAACAAAACGAGAAAGGTTTGCCCTTTTTTGTAAAATTACATTCCAAAGTTCGTCATCACTTAGGTTGTTGTGATAATGCGATCGGAGATAAATGGTGCTTCTTATATTATTCTCACAATAATGTCATCCAAGGCCATTATTGCCTAAATCTGCTGAACGATAATCTTCATTCGTTCTTGTACTAATATGTACTAGGTACCATTGTTGAGTAACATTGTTTTCCAGCACTAATATCTCTGAAATCGAGACTGACAGACACGTACAGGCCCATGAGGTGTATTTTGCTGAGCTTAAAAATCACTTAAAATCTGCGAAAAGACAAACGTTTGATTTTCCGCCATAAAATTTATTAGTATTATTGTTGTTATTGCTGTGGGGTAAGACAGCATATTGATTGGTGCGATTCCAGGTTCTGAGGGCGGCGAGTATTAAGATGATTACGTTCTGGGTTATTGCGCCGTCCAGTTCGGTAACAACTTACCGACTTTTCACAAGTTTCTGCTGCCTCCATCATCAGGACGATCGCGCAACAAACCAGAAGACAGCCATCTTCACCACTCAATTGATTTGAGAGTTCCTTTACAAGGGGTTAAAAAGACCGGAGAGCCAAGCACTTACCTCCATCTAGTGCAGAATTTATAAATACGTAGACCTGTATCTTTAACCCTGGCTAAGACATTCACGGCGTAATACGTAATCACAGGGACAACTTAACCTTTGAACTATCGGTATGTTAAGGCCGCTAGCGCTATCCCATTATTCTCATTTTCTGATCCTTCATTACTCTTAAACCTTACATTTCACTCCACACAATCATTGCAGTGGATGCAGCCCTGAATGGTAACAAAAGACCACAACAAGATCTCTTTCTGAGTCTTATCAGCACAACAGAATATTTAAATAAACTTACTTATTCCGTAATTTCCATTGATATTTTTGAAAGTAGGTAACGTTTGAAATTAATCAGATTGCAGCAAAATTACGTAATAAAGTTAGGCGAAGTCCACACAAAGGAACGGAAGGAGATTGAAAGAACCAATGAACCGCATTCTCCTTCTTTTCTAATCGACATGTTCAGTATTTGCGACATGCCCCAGACTGCTTTATTGGATTTCAATTACTGAGAAGAATAACGTTACTGGAAAAAGCACAAATATGTTTATTTGCTCAGTGTCTCGTTAAGATCTACAAGTGACGACAATCTACTGATCGACAATTTTTCAATACGCTCATATTATATTCCTCGACTAGGCTGCTCGAAACCTTCCGATCGTATCGTCAAGATATCTAAAATGTTATTTGTATAGGCTAAAATCTTAATTAAAACACTGACAAATTATTGCTAAATTAATTTGGATACCATATTTCATTTATATGTATTTATATAACATGATATATTTTCCTCTTCTATCTCCCAGTTCTCTTGATCATCAGCGTTCTGGCTTGGCGATGCTGGTCCCTATTTCTCATTATGCTGCAACGGTCCTCTTCCTCGCTGCTTCTGTTTTGCTCATATCTGCTCGTGTCACTTTCGTGTGTTGTCACTTGAACTTGACTTTGTGTCTGCCACATGTCCTGTCCTGTGATACGTGCCTGTATGTTGTTTTAGGCCTGTCTGGTGCACACTTTGTAGGTTAGGCCTCTACTTAAGATAGTTACATTTTGCACCATGGATCTCACCGACTCCATGGGAGAGTCCGTCCTGATAAGCTAAATATCTCTGATAAATAAATCCCCGGCCATGTTTGAAACCCGACAGTTCATTACGCTGCTCCAGCAATTGGCCCCTAACATGGTCCATATTAATCCTTCATTCCTTATTTATTTTATTCATTCAAATTATTTTCACATCCAAGCCTAGTCTTCCAAATGTTCTCTTCTCTTAGGTACTCCGATTAAAATATTGCGTTCATTTCGCTTTCATCCCATGCATGCTACATGCTCCACCAACCGTATCTTCCTTTGACTATCCACATTGCATTTGGTAAAGAGTAAACATTACAGTGCACTCAATAATTAATAGAAAGACTTTATTATACAGACAAATCCATTAAGGTGTATAAGTAAATATATATTGTTTAAATCTTGTCCGTCTAATCACAATAAATTCTTATTAAATATTAAAATATTACAATAATTAACATTTAAAATATTTAAAATATTAAATGATGTTCTTTATCGAAATATTCGATTTACATTAGACCATCATTTTTCACGACATGTTTCAGTTCCTAAAAGAACTATCTTCAGGTGTATATAATTATATAAAAATTCAAATCAATAACAACTTTACCATCTCATGTATAAGTAACTTGATTATGTAATCTGGATCTAAGTTTAATTTGAAGGAATAAGTCTACCACATTTGACCAACATTCTTTTATCCAGAGAGAGAGAGAGAGAGAGAGAGACGTCGAAATCGACGTGCCTTCCTCTGAGAAGAATGGTAAATACTGGCTGTTATCTGAAGTTGGTTAACTCTTAGTTCCTTTGCAATGTTAACGGCCGCCGTGGGCCGAAGCACTGCCTCCTGGTGGGACACACGAGCAACTCTCTTAAACCCCTGCTCAATCGTTTTCTCCTTTTCCTTTCTTCTTTTACTCTATCTCCAAACTTTCCTTTGGTTTCCGGAATGGGAATAATTAGTCACGTGGTATTAGCTTTAAGGGCTCGTGAGATCGGAATTTTAAGGAGGGCCACGTGCTAGCACAGGCAGACCACCAAAATCCTCAGTTACTTTTCATTTAGTAACTCGATTTCATGTAACTTGGACCTCAGTCTATATGATAATTCTGAGAAGCAACTCCATTACTCGTATTTTGAAATCATGAAACACGCGACGTAGTTAACATAATGAGCGAATTATATCCAGTGCCTTCATGTACCTAATTTACAGCGGACATGCTGATAAGTTATCAAACGAACCTACTTTATGATGATGAGGTGTTATTAAAAATCTAAGAGTCGTTTAGCTACTCATGAAAATTCCCGTCTTTTAAGCAATCTGAAGGTTCTCACCCTGTTAACAAAGGCCCATCATCGGCCCCAAACCTGAGTCAGATGAATCTAGTCCACACACAATGCACCACATTTCTCTAACATCATTCTTAATGTTATCCTCCCACCTATGCCTTACAACAAAAATATTGTGTACACATTTCAGATTTTGCTATGTGAGATACTTGCAAATACCTTCCAACCATACTTGATTTAATCTTGATAAAACACGCAAAAACAGATTAAGTTCTTATCATCTGTTCGAGCTTCATGGATAACGTCCTAAGGAATCTGCATTAATGAAGGTTCTTTTAACTACACATTACGAAAATGACACACAACCCTTTACTTTCAGTGCGCACACATTATTCTGAGAAGTTATTCATTATCTTAAAAGCCAATATATCACTAATAGCATGCTGACAGTTTGTACACCTCAGTATCTCAATTTGTAATTCTTCTAAACAAAAACACTGTGCACTATCATCTCTGCCATAAACTTTAAGCCCATTATTTTCAGTTACTTTATAAAATAATTTTTATGTCAAAGTAGATGTTAAGAAATTTCAGGTGAGGATCTACATTCTGATTATGAATGACGAACTGAGATAAATACGCAAGTGGCCTGCTTCGAAACACTTCTTGCAGTTGAAGACACTGAATCCGCTGAGATACGCCTCTGGCGAACAGAGTTTTGCTGTGGCGCCTCAGAAACAAAACATTAAAAGGATTGGGCAGATGATACTTGAGTCGTCCGTTCAAAAAGTCAGACTTTTTCATAGAGATAATTCAATTTCGTTACTTCGGGGAAAAGGAAATGTAATTCTTTTTCGAAAGGAAAATATATCATCAGCTATTGAAACACTGAAGTTACACGTACTTTCTTTGAGATTAATTAATCTATCAACGTGAGAACAATGAAGGGTATTTTCATTCCCTTGTAAGAAAACACCTTGTTCGGTAATCAAAAGTAAGGCATGCATATAAGAAATAATCGCAAGATATTTGTGTGATTTATATCGTGTGATAAGTCACTATAATAGTAAGTTGTGTATTAGGAAGCCAGCAAAATACTGGTTTCGATTACGATATAACTAAACAACATGCTACTCAAATCTGTTTAATTGGCTAAAATATTTACGTTTTGGAACGCGGTTCATATAGAAGTTGTTAATATTGCAGTGTCTGTCCATATGTCACACAGTAGCAATGCAAAATGAATAGTCCTAAAATAAATCATAAGTCCGAAATAGCTGATAATATTTGCGCATAAAATAATTTTTAACGTAAGGTAAATACATTTTCCATATAGTCATGATATCTCGTAATTAATTATGTAATCTTAAAACAAAACCCGAGACACAACACTCGTAAACGAAAAGAAATCAGAGGCAACGATTTCGAACAAACTCCAGACCTTACGTGCGAGTATGCAGGTCTACACATTCACTCTTTGGTTATTTATGCCATTTACTACTATCCCAAGAAAGTGTCTGCAGCTGTATGGTGACTGGGTAACTTTTCCTTTTCATTCCACAGACTAACAAATTCTTTAAGAACATTTAACAAAGAAACCTGTCTTACAGCAACTGGAAATTTGAATATTCGCTTAAAAAAATAAATGTTTTGAAGGTTCAGTATCGTGCTCAATAGTGGCCTCTGTTATTGGTGGTAATGAGTAATATTCCCAAGAACTTATCTTAACCTAATACAAGGGCATTTCTTATACTAAGAGAAAAGTAAGGCTTATGTGGTGGCTACAGTACACGACATCACAATCCAGAAGACCACAATCTAATCAGCATCTAAAATCTACGCTTATTTCTAAATAATTCAATTCTGAGTGGTACTCGTATTTCAGAGATTTGGGTTAATTTCTCTGCAACATACAACAGCTACAGGTATTTTGTTTTAATAATTTAAATGTTGTGTTAATTTCATTGCATTTACTTTCTAGATATAAAAAATTACCTTTGGTTAAAAATGTAATCATCACATATATGCTACATTAATTTCGAATATTATCCAACCACTGCTACAGTATCAAGGTCTTCCTTAGTCCATCCAGCGTCTATAGCAGCCAGCATGCCAGCACTGAGGACTCACGATATGTCAGTTGTTATGTCCCATCTGTGGAGCCATCAATCTAGATGTTGAACCAACTAATCAACACGTCAAGGGACTGAATTTCGAAGCCAACGTCTGTTAGTCACCCCCCACCCCCGGCCGACATTATAAACCTGTCTCGCGGGTCTAGCCGGAACGGGTTACAAGTTGCCACTGTCGCAAAAGTAAACAGAGACGGTAGAAGTTTAAGCAAGAACTGCGCAATTTCACCAGATCAAGAAATATCATGCTCCTTCGGAGTCTAATGGGTAATCTCTATTACCATAAAAATCATCCGTGGAACCATCATCGTATCCAGTTTATATTTCTACCAAACTTTCTATAAGGCTAACTGTAAAATGATCCACCCATTTATGCCAAAGCTCAAGAATTATTCTCCTCCCAGCTGATATGCTCACAATAATGTATTCATGACTTGTTACTAACTTCACCCTGCTTGACGTAATCACGTTTAAAATGCCATAAAATTACTGGCCGGGCTTGTTTACAAAAGAATCATAAGACAGATCTTCACACTTGTTAAATACCGCAACACAGAGTTTAAGCACATTGGGTATTAAGTTCTTTACTTGAAGCGGGATAGAAAAATACCTGCATTGAAGAACCATCTTTCGCTACTCTTATTAATATTATCCCATCTATTCACCACTTTATAAGGTATTTACTTCCATGTATCGCAGACAAACCTTGCCCCTGAGGTACATAGTGCAACAGCAATTTCCGAAATACATGTTTTTAATACGTTTTATAGTATCTATCATTTTAATAATTCAACATTTCCTTTCATCAGGTATAAGTATCTTCACTTAAAAAGAAACTTTATAAGTGGTGTACCCATCCACATCAATCAGTAATTGTTTTGACTATCTTTTTATTATAATTTGTAATATGTTACCTATTAACACGTAATTCCTAAGACTCATACTCTACTTCTGTAATTCCATATTAACAATGTTTACTTATCTACTTCTATAACGACCAAGCTGTCTTTTTCCTTCAGAATTCCAGTCTAAAATATCCCCAGTTATCTCTTCTTGCTTTATACATCTTCCACTTATCTTGGAATCCTTCATTTGATTTCAATTTTAATAACCGTTGACAAGTATACTTTATGAATATCGTCACCTTACCATTTCCCACCCTTCTGTTACACCCTCTTTCTTAGGTTATAATATTCTCCCCCGTAACTTAGTTTTCAAGTACATTCAACCTACGTTCGTTCCACAGAGCATCAGACCATGTTACACGACTGCGTAAGACATCGGATAAAATTATTCTTAGTGTTACGTTTCCGGAAAAACTTACAACCACTTCTTTATTTCGCAGAGTTCGCGTCGGGAACTCGTCCCACAAACTTTGGCAATGACAACAAAGAAAGAGGAACGTGGAAAGTCTATCGCGAAATTCTTTCTTTTCTCCTACATTTTCTTTTATTTCCTATCTTTCTTTTCCTCTCCCTGGTAACTTATATAAAAGTTAGCTTATTTTGTGCGTGAGAGACATACATCACAGGTGGTAAATAACTTGTCAAAAGGACCGACATCGAAAAGCACTCAGCGTCGGCTTATCTCGTGCCTGCAGCAGCGACCTCGAGACAACCCCCGGGGGGTACAGTGACGCCATGACAAGGGGGGGGGGAATGGATCTCTAGGCCCAACTTCAGGTGAATCACGTGTCTTGGAATTAAAGAGAACAACGGATTTCTCTGACGCAATTTTATCGGTAAACAAATTAATTTGTGAATGTCACAAACAAGCATATTTCAAACACATGCCTGCATGTAATTTCAAATTTACGTATCCTCTAAAATTTTAAGACGAAATAGAAGTTAGTGGCATTCCGAACGCTTCTGTGAAGCACGAAATGTGTGAAAAATCGTGGGAGGTACAGCTTAGCGGAAGAAACGACATGGGGCCACTTTGTGTTGATGAAATGTTAATTTGGAAACAGAATTTTGTCGATGAGGACTGAATTGTACTTACACAGAATGTGCTGAAATGGTAGACTACTATGGTGGCGGTAGAGGGCTTTTGGACTCTATGAACGCAGGAAATTCCTTGAACACTCTGTAAACTCGACTGAAGGAAGACATTTCTAGTAGACTCTACAATAAGATAGTTTTGAGCAGGCTTATTCAAATTTTATAATACTCTGGTTGTTCACAAAACATAAATTGCTCACAGGAATACCTAACCTTGTTCTCAAAATACTTCGAAAATTGTCTACCGTTGATCAAACACAAAACAGTCAAACTAGAGGCCATGTCTTATGATACTTGGGTAGTTTTTATTCTCAGAGGTCGAGGTTAAATGCCAGTGCTTGCCATGTAGGCTCGTATATTCAAGAAAAAATAAACTAGACAAGTATGCCTTTTCAAGTTTCTTTTCCACTGACTCAATTTGACTGATTCTACAGGTTCATCTTATACCACCATCATAGTGGTGTGTGGGTGGCCTGAATAACCAATACCGAATTTTTCCACACTCTCAGCGATGTGCTGAGACTTCTATTCTGTCTCGGCCCACAGCTCGGAGATAGAAACGATAGCAGGAAATGACGTATAATTTCGGACAGCCAGAAAAGGCGTTCCACGAACGTCTGAGTTTGGCTGGGGTTAGTGGTGGAGTACTAGCAACCCCTAACCGTAAAGACCATCGTGAAAGCGTTTTGATAAAGATAAGTTTTTTAAAATTTTAATCAGAAAGGCTGAAGGAAAAAAGTCTATGCAATTTTTAGTCGTAGATGAAATGATAATAGTAAAATGGATTTTAATGAATTAGTGTGTGAGCTTCAGCTAGAATCTGTTATCAGGCTTTTGAAAACGTAGGAATGGACTCTCAGTTTCTATAAAAGGCGGAAAATATCTAGACCAGCTGAGCAACTATGAATGGTTTAAGTGTCGTTACAAGTTTACCTACATAAAGCCATACTTGCGTATCCATTTGCATACAACAGATAAAACAATGACAGTCTCTCCGATCATGTTTCACTGAAGGAATGTTTCCAGCTGTCATGTAACGATGTAGTTAGTTAAGAGAAAGCATCTCGCATTTCGTGAAAGTGAGTGGTCAAACAAAATTGCGTTACTCTTGTAGCAAAATTCACACTTCCGTTTTACTTCAAATGTATTGGCTGCCATAAGCATCCTATCAAATTACATGCATCCTACACCGATATAAAGCGCAACCCAATGTTAATTTCGTAATTAGCGGAACCCCATGCAGACTGCGTTCTGCGTTACAAAATGTAGCAGAAGAATTGAAGCACCAACATCAGTGCCGAGACACATGTCAGGATTGTCATCGCCACTTATTGGTTAACGGTTACAGATTATGAACAAAACATGCACACACTGTTGCTATAACACTATTTAGAGAATAAACGTACGTCATTATCAACACTGTCTCTCGTATGAAGTAAATTTGATACACACGACGTTTCGGCAGATCAATCTACTCCCGTATCCAGGTGACTGTCATGATACTGACACATAATATTGATAATAATAATCAGTAGTTGTAGTAAGTACCTTAGGGATGGAATAAAGGGTCTTTCAAATACCAGGATTGTAGGCTAAAAACTGGACTTTAGTGGTGTCTGAAAATTTACTGTAATTCGTTATTTATGTTACACATCCAGTGATTTCTCGTCGCTTTCTTCACCATTGTAAAGTGGAAAACAATTTCGTACTAAGTCGATTACAATATATTTGCATACAATACCTTCTTTGAATGATTACGTATTAATTGGGATGACAGCCACGTAAGTCCCAGTGTCCCTCCTACAAACACTTCCCACAAGTATGCGTAAGCAATCTCAAACAAACAAATTCAATTTAGTCTTCAAATCTATGAAAAACGATGGTGCAACGGTTTCCTCATCCCTCAAATATCGCAATTAATAACGGTTGTAACCTCCACCTTCTGAGCACAACACTTCCATGACGACCCCTTTCAATTTCATCTTTAATAATATCATTGAAAAACACCTACAGCCATCAGTAGACAGACAGGTCAAGTGTGGAAGAAGTCGTGGCCTAACCAAAACACTTGTAAATTACCCTTCTCTGGATGAAGAGCCCCTCTTGAAGGCACTCACATCACGTCACGTGACGGAGCTCGGGAACTCGCGCACCTGACACGCGACTTTGAACGTCGCATGTTTTCCTTCCGTCTGCTAAGCTACGCCATTGATGGTACGGGATTACTTAACCTAAAGCTATCGTTCTTCCACAGGAAGCCTCGTAAATACCGTCAGCGTCTATCAATTTATTTCCTCAGGTACAGTTCGCCACTCCGAGACTGCAGCGTAAAGGCTCGATAGAAAGCAGTGTCTAAATCAGCGTCTGCACTCAGTTATGTATAGGTCTACATATGATGCGGCTATTATAATATTTTCAGAAGCTGCAACGACCAGGTACTGGGTTTATTTAACGTATGGGGAATATAGAAATTCCAAATTTATATCAAGAATCGATATCTGAAAATTAATTCTGACCAGGAGAATTTACGAAGTAAAGGTAATAATTTTAGTTTTTCTGAGATAATGGTGGCAGTACTGAAAAAATTACGGATATTAGAAATATTTTGATTAGTGACTGACTAATACTTGTTAGAAGTTTCACGTGGCTGGTCAATTGATGGAAAGCATCAAGGATTCGAATTTTGTCGTCATAGGATGTGAAAACTAGTGAAATTTCCGGATGAAGACAAGAATACCTGTAAAGTCAGTGGAAAGTTTACGAATTTTATAAACAGAAGAAAGGGGCGAAGAAGTGAAGTGTCTTACGTCTTCTGGGTGGTTATTGACTGCACAGTGCGTTGAGATTAAGGAGCGGTTGGATCAGCGTATCCGGTAGAACAGAACAACCAGGGAGTTCCTTAACAAAACTGTTTTCGGAGTAAGCATCAATCATGGAAAGAATGGTTTCAAAATCAACGGGATACAAATCTGCAAATCCTACTACTACCTTCTTCGTTAAGGGAAACCCACATCACCTACACAATTCCAGGCTTATCGTGCTCTTCTGTAAAATTTAGG